TGAGATTCAACACCGCTTTCCGTCTGCAAAATAATGGACAATCAGAAAGAACTATTCATATTTCGGAAGAAATGCTCCAAATGAGTGAATTAGACTTTCAAGGAAGCTGGAAAAACCTACTCACCATTGGCAGACTTTGTTGATGACAACTACTTTTACTCTAGTTTTGGTATGGCACCGTACGAAGCCTTGTAAGGCATAGAAAGTAGATCTCCGATTGGTTGAGGACAAAGTGTTACTTGATTTTGAGATTGACTAAATAACTACCAAAGGAATTGAAATCGTTCAACAAAAGTATTCTGAATTGTTTTCGACTAAAGATAACATAAGTTTGGAGGACTAAACTTCCTAAAGGGGGAAAGAATATGACAACCTTGTTTCATATCAGGCTTTTAAGTCCTTAATTATGTATATGCCTAATATGAATTTGAATGCTAATTATGTGTTCTACGTGATTTTTGGATGCCTATCTGTTGATTGTAGAAACATCTGTTACAATTTCTGCTCTAAGTCTGAAATCGAGGGCTGTAGAGGCAATAGAAACCAAAATTGATTATACATTGTGATTAGCATAATTTTTAGAGCCTACGGTGGAATTTAATTAAAAACTGATTCAGATAAAAATAATTAGATTAAATTGATTAAAATAAGTGCAATTGATTAACTGTAAGCAAGTTTGATTAGTTTAAGCTAATCACTTCTATATATATGTTAAGTTAGTGCTTAAGCTTATATTTTTTAGCTCTTCTTCAAGTCTTGGCTAAAATGATACACTTTAGAGAGAGAGAGAGAGAGAGAGAGAGAGAGAGAGAAGTGAGAATTCAAGGGAGAGGAGAAGAAAGCTTGGATATTAGAAAGATTAACTCAAGTTCTAGCTAAATTTGGGAGAGTTGAAGACTCTAGGTGAGTAAATGAACCTCAAATTGTATATTGAAATCACATAATTTGAGAATTCAAGAAGAATTGGTGACTTCGTGCAAGATATGAATTTAATATGAAGAATTTGATATTAAATCACACATGCATGCATAATTTCATGAGTCTCATGAATATAAGTATCATTTATACCATTTAAGATGGAATTAGAGGCTATATTTCACATACATGCATAATCCATTAAGAATTTGAAATGATTTGGGACTTGCATGATGAATTCATGATAATTTGAACTTCAATCTTGTAAAATTAGCTCTTATATTTATGGTAGTAGTTGTATGGTCGAAAAATAGAACATAACATGCAAGTTGAACATTCATTCATGATTCATAAAATAGTATTTCGTAAAATACTTCAATCTTGTAAAGTTGGCTCTTGGACATTCATTCATGATTCATAAAATAGTGTTTCGTAAAATAGATGATGTCTTATCATTCTAAAAATACTTATAGTCAAACATAGCTTTACAGAGTTTTTACTCACAAATAGCTTCAATAGCAAAAGGGTCTGAACAGTCGAATCAACAATCTATGGCGTGTGACCTACACAAACATATAGTGGGTACACACTGAAACATATGCTCAGAAAATACTTAGCTCATTTCTTTTCTATCTTGGTGTGTTTCTAATCCTTATCCTCATTATTGTGTCTTAATTAAGGCTTGGGACTGCCTAAGATGCAACGAGGATGCCAAAATATGAGTTGAAACACTTAGTCAAATTTTCAAAAATAGGGCAGTCCGTTTGAGCGCAACTTTAGTCACTCGAGCGGTCTACAAGGTCTGCAAAAGTATTGGTTGCATGACTTGTACGCTTGACAGTCGCTGGACAGCCGCTCGAGCCAAAGACTAAGTAAACAGGGTATCTGCTTGAGTGTAACTCCTTACAATTGAGCGATCTGCAAAACTCTACAAAACTTCTGGAAGCTCTCATTTTACGCTTGAGCACAACTTACTATGCTTGAGCGGAGGATCAAAAATAAGGGTGGTCGCTCGAACGCAGGTTCTGCCGCTCGAGCCAACCCCCCAACTGTACAAAAATACTAGGAGCTCGCATTCTTCGCTCGAGCGCAGGCTTCACTGCTTGAGCGAGGCTTGTGAATTTTGGAATTTCTAGATTGCATTCCCAGCTTCAAAACTTAATTTCAATGCATCAAAGCACATACTTTTGGGCCAGAACTTTAGAAAACGCTTGTATGCTCATAGGACTCCATGAATTGAAAGTCGTTTTGCCAAAATCATGACCAAAAGCAGGTGAATTAATCAAAAGCAAACTTGACATTTTGAAAACAAAACATACAAACAATGACTTGAAATCTTAGCTTCCAAAACACGCACAAATGGAGTGTTTAAGTGTAAAACCACAATGAGCTCCCATAATAGAACAAAAATATGCCCTTGCATGTGAGAATTTGTTGAAATCAAAACTCAAAATCCATGAATTATGCATGCATACATGTTATGGTCTTCTTTCCTACCTCTTAGCTTGATTCTTGCATTTCCTAGCTTAACACTCTTGAATTCATGCTTTAACCAACACAATTACAAGACTAAAGGCTTGAATTCTTACCTTAGGTGTTCAATTGTGTTCAGATGCTAAGTTGGTTGAGCTCTCAAGTCAAATGCTACAAATTTCTTCTCAATTCAATTATCCTTTCTCTTGAACTCCAGCTCTTCCACTCAAACCTTCTCTCTCCCACATTTTTGCTCTCAAAGAAATGAAGATGAAATGTTGTTGAGTCACCATTAGCCTTATATAGGCTTGATTAGTGGGGTTTAATTAATCCTAGCTTAACTTCATTAAATAACATTATTCTATTCTAATTATTTAGGTCCGAATCAAATTTTAATTAAATCTACCATAAATTTCCAAAAATTTCAAAAGAATACATAAACCGAGTCAATTTCGTAATCAAATGATGATAAGGCCTTCAATTTGCATACTAAAATAGAAATTCAGACAAATCTTTCTACGTCAAGCAGATATAAGCACAAATAACACAATTCCCATGCAATTAATTTAGTATTTCCTCTTAATCACTTATTAGGCATTCTTAATCATGGTTTAGTGACTAAACACAATTCGGGGTTGTTACATGAGAAATGATAGAGAAGTAACTAATGAAGCTGGTGAAGATTCACACGGACAAGAATCCTTTTGACATGATGACCAAGGTTGTCACCAGAGACAAATTGGAAGTTTGCAAGAATTTGGCCGAAATGGCGTTCAAGTGAGAAGTCGGTTATGGAGATAAGCGTAGAAAGGGAGAAAATTTTACTTCCACCTCATCTTAGGAGAATGGAGCACCGAAAGGAAGAATGAGTTGACCATGTGCTAGGTTAACTCTTCCACATGTGTGTGTTGAAGTTTTTCTGCCGAAGGAAGAGAGTAGTTGCCTCTCTTAACTTTTTCTCTTTTTCTTCCTTTTCTGTTTTTCTTTTCTTTGTTCCCTCTCGCCGTGTATATATAGATGTAGAGAGGGAGAAGAGAGTAGGTGAGTGTAGAGTGGTGTGTGAGCAACAAACACCGAGTGCATAATCTATGTGTAAGAGAGTGAGTTCTATAAAGGGTTGTGAGGTGTGAATTGTAATCTCTCTCTGAAAAATTCTACAGTGTGTAATCTCTCTCTATGGACGTAAGCTATTGTTGAACCATGTAAATCCCTTGTGTTATTGCTTGTTGGTATGCCAACCAGGTTCCCGGATTCTAATATCAGTATTGTCGGATTTCGCCTCTAGGACAACTAATGGTGTCAATCGTTTTGGTATTGGATCAATGGATCGAAAAGAGATGAATGTGAGTAAAGAACAACTTCAACACATCGACAAGGGGTTGAGACGTTACAATTGGTTCAAGCACGCTGGTCTATCATTTCTCTTCTTCATTCTCTTTAGATTCGCTGCCGATCCACCTCTCTCTTCTCTCTCCTCTTTGCCAAAGAACAATGCCCGGACAGAACCGTAGCTCCATTACCAAAAGATTCCAGCAATTAGCCTATGAACCATCGCAAGAAGACGAGAATTAACTGAGTCAAAGACGAAATGAGAACTTTCAATGCTACTAATTCCATGGCTTGTAGATCTGATTTTTTTTTTCTCTAATCTCATATCGCTGATGAATAGATCTCAGATTTTTTTTCTATTATTTTCATATTTTTTTGGTATTATTTGTTGTTTTTTTTGTTGTTGTTGGTGGTGGTGTTGTTGTTGATGATGATAATGATGATGAAACATATTACAACAAATAAGGAGAGAGAGAAAATGATTCCAACAAATAGTGGATTCATGAATATATATTTTTAACACATTGAAAAAAATTTAAACAAATAATTTTTTTAAATAGTGGATATGACAAGTTAAAAATTAAAATTTGAACAGATAAGTTAAAAATGAGAATTTCAGCGCGCGCGCGCACACACACACACAGAGATATATAAAAATTCAACAAATAGTAAAATTTTTAAACAAATAAGGGAAAAAATTGAACATATAGTCAAAAAAATTTGAACAGATAAATATAAATTTGAATAGATAGTCAAAAAAAGTCAACAAATAAAAAAAAATCTACAGATAAATTAAAAGGTAAAATTAAAAACAAAATATCTTTCAAAACTAACAAAATAACTCCTCATCAAAATATTTCATGAGAGATGTACTTTTTAGTGATAAAAAAATATTCATTAATATTTTTATCCTTCTTACCTTAGACTTTTAATAATTTTTTTTAAAAAATTAATCATTAAACTTACAAATAATGAAGAACCGAAAATCTCTAACCGTCTTGTCCTTCTTTTCTTTCTCTCTCAAAATTCCCCCCACAATAATGAAGGTTTCAAGTTTTTATATATGACAGACAACTTAAACCTAAGAGTAATAAACTACAGTTCTGATTCGTAGCTCGAAATTCGGAGGCATGAATTTGGCTCGACACCAAAACGACGTCGTTTTGCTATTTTTTTTTCTTTTTTTTCTTTTTTTTCCCTTCTCTCTGGTCTGAAACTGAGACGAAAAAGAAAGAAGAAAGAAGAAGAGGGGAGGGGAGGGGAGGGGAGAGAGAGAGATCAACCGTCGAATTTGAACATGAATTTTTTGTTCAAAATCTGATGCAGATCCAGATCCATTTTCATCATCAAATTTTTTTTGTTCAAAATCTGATGCAGATCCAGATCCATTTTCATCATCAAATTTTTTTTGTTCAAAATCTGATGCAGATCCAGATCCATTTTCATCATCAAATTTTTTTTGTTCAAAATCTGATGCAGATCCAGATCCATTTTCATCATCAAATTTTTTTTGTTCAAAATCTGATGCAGATCCAGATCCATTTTCATCATCAAATTTTTTTTGTTCAAAATCTGATGCAGATCCAGATCCATTTTCATCATCAAATTTTTTTTGTTCAAAATCTGATGCAGATCCAGATCCATTTTCATCATCAAATTTTTTTTGTTCAAAATCTGATGCAGATCCAGATCCATTTTCATCATCAAATTTTTTTTGTTCAAAATCTGATGCAGATCCAGATCCATTTTCATCATCAAATTTTTTTTGTTCAAAATCTGATGCAGATCCAGATCCATTTTCATCATCAAATTTTTTTTGTTCAAAATCTGATGCAGATCCAGATCCATTTTCATCATCAAATTTTTTTTGTTCAAAATCTGATGCAGATCCAGATCCATTTTCATCATCAAATTTTTTTTGTTCAAAATCTGATGCAGATCCAGATCCATTTTCATCATCAAATTTTTTTTGTTCAAAATCTGATGCAGATCCAGATCCATTTTCATCATCAAATTTTTTTTGTTCAAAATCTGATGCAGATCCAGATCCATTTTCATCATCAAATTTTTTTTGTTCAAAATCTGATGCAGATCCAGATCCATTTTCATCATCAAATTTTTTTTGTTCAAAATCTGATGCAGATCCAGATCCATTTTCATCATCAAATTTTTTTTGTTCAAAATCTGATGCAGATCCAGATCCATTTTCATCATCAAATTTTTTTTGTTCAAAATCTGATGCAGATCCAGATCCATTTTCATCATCAAATTTTTTTTGTTCAAAATCTGCAGACTCAGATCATATTTTTTTTGATCAAAATCTGAAGCTGTTGTACAAATTTTTTTGGTTCAAAATCTGATGCAGATCCAGATCCATTTTCATCATCAAATTTTTTTTGTTCAAAATCTGCAGACTCAGATCAGATTTTTTTTGATCAAAATCTGAAGTTGTTGTACAAATTTCTTTTGTTCAAAATCTGCAGACTCAGATCAGATTTTTTTGGATCAAAATCTGAAGCTTTTGTACAAATTTTTTTTGTTCAAAATCTGATGCAGATCCAGATCCATTGAACAAATTTTTTTTTTGATCCAGATCCAGATCAATTTTTTTTTTCAACAGCTTCAGATTTTGAACATCATCATCTTCATCATGTTCAACATCATTCCAGAATCAATCTCTACTAATCCAACCCTTCAGCTTTACCCGTGTCCGTCTACGGTTCATGTACTGCACCTTTTCACTTAAATGCACCATTCCAGAATCAATCAGCCATGAAAGCAGGGTTCTTTTCCCCGTATATGGAACATAGCTGTCGCTTTCTGAATTTAACTTCTTATCAGAACTGCGAACCAATAAGGTACATCTGCCAATTTTTCGACTTTTTCTTGCTTGTATCATATGAGAATTGGTTGTGGTGGATGGTTTTTCAGCCCTCTCTTGCTTGGATGATCCCTTGTATAAAGCACCACTTGAATTATCTCCACTCACACAAGTTGTTCCATGTGATCTCCCTTTTGGTGACTTACCATTCTGCTTCATGACGAAATTTAGTTTCTTGTCATCCTCATCACCGACTGTGCCCTCTGCAAACTCTTCCATGGAAACTCCTTTAACAGTCTTACTCCTACCATGATCTTTTCGCTTCCTCTTCATTTCCTTCTCAACCTTCTTTCGGGTTTGCCTAGTTAATTTACTAACTACCTCCTCTGGTAATGCAGTAAATTGCAAGGAGTGCCCAGTAGGTTTTATTTCAGCATCTTCTTCCTCCAATTGCTTTTGAAGCGCCTCATAAGCTTTAATAATGGACCAGTATGCTGTTCCTGTGGGATTAATGTAAACTGCATCTAAGTAGTCTCTGTTCCTTCTAGGTCTATAATCAATTGTCCAACCAGCACTCACAAGCATAGCCCTTATCTTTTCACGCAATAATTGCTTTTCTGTGCCATAACCACGCTTTACTTTTCCTTCCTCCCCTCTATCTGGCATGATCTTTTCAGCTGATGGAGCTTTCCCTTCGCTTTTTACCCCTTTTGATGAGCTACGAGCTTGTACACTTGGTCCCAGCCTCAACAACGTATCACTGTCCTCTGTTTCTGAATTGCCAGCCTTAGAAATCACAGACAATGGCTTTCGCAGTTTTAGCTCACTCTTCTCCGTTTTAACAAATGAAATTGCTTTTTCAGGACATTTTGAATCCGAGTAAAATGAAGGTTTGACAGATGTGTTTTTTTCAGGATGTTTTGAATCCAAGGAAAATGAAGGTCCGACAGATGAGTTTTTTTCATGACATTTTGAACCCAAGTAAAATGAAGGCCCGACGGATGTCTCTTTTTCATGCCGTTTTGAACACGAGTACAATGAAGGTCCGACAAATGTGTTCTTCTTGATAGCATTTTCAGAAATAGAACCCTTTCTACTCTCAACTTCCAACTGACGATCATAGAATTTGTGAGGTAGTTCTTCCATCTTCTTCTTTTTGTTTACCATCACCTTCAAAACACCATTTTTACCCTGCAACCTGATAGTCTCATCAGACGAAACATGAAACTCCCGTCTCAAAGACGACACGGGTAAATGAGCTTCACCGTCCTCTATCCCAAACCTACTCTTTACAGTATAATCAGGAACATTTTTCCTCCCAGCTGATGAGTTACTTGCACCGTCAAAATAAGAATGCTTTCTCTTGTCAATCATGACATGTTTACTAGACCCAGTTTCAAATTCCCTCTCACTTCTCTTGTTCATCATGACATGTCTAATAGACCCAGTTTCAAATTCCCGCTCACTCCCACTCCGTCCAGCAATCATAAACCTACTTTGTAAATAATCCTTCCTCATTCTCTTTCCATCAATACCATCATAGTCATAGAACTCACGTGCATCTAGCCTCTTCTTCCTTTCACTCCCAATTTCCCCATTCTGACCAAATTTGCTATCTTCCACAAGGTTTTCACTATTCACAGCCGAACCATTACGAAATCTATCAGTTCCGTAAACAACTTTCCTTCGAACTGGCTCTAGCAACTCATCAATCGACTCCGAATCACTGAAATCGAACCGCGACCTTTTTATCTCCTTATTTGACTGGAAATCCTTTCTTGACCCAGAAACCCCAACCCCACTCGTCCCCTCCACTTTCTTCTTTCTGATCAAACAACCAGAAGAACTCTTCTTCTTCACCAAACCCCCACTAGATCTCACTCCATCTTCCATCTCATGCAATAACCCTAATAAAGCCCTCAAATTTTCAACCAATTAACACAAAATTCACATCAAATTGACCATCAAAAACCAATAAACCCCTCCCAAATCAAGCATTAACAGATCTGAACTAAAGCAAAGAAAAATCATACAAATTTTCACACTCTGTGAATGCAGAGGTAGAATGTAGAATTCTTACCTCGCTGGAGAGAGATTTTGATCCGTACGCCGATATGCACCGGTGGGACTGTCTCAATCGGACATGCAACTTCGCGGTGAACAAATCCGATCACGTATTCGAGAGAGCGAGAGAGAAAATTTGTGGGTTTTTTGCACAGAGAGAGAGAGAGAGAGAGAGAGAGAGGGGAGGAGGCTTGGATTGCAATAGTCCAGTGTGAAAATATATATAAAATGAATTTCCTTTCTAGATAACAACCATTTCGTAATTGCCAAAGTTCCTCGTAGAATTAGCAATGATCAAGTGCTCTTTTAACGGGACTTCTAGGAATTTATAAACACAATCAATATCTTAGAAACTACATTCCATACTCATTTAATCACATAAGTATGTTATCACATAGCATACCGGGTTTACTTCTAACACAAACTAGCGAGGTAACCTATTGTGGTAAAAACCACATCCCACGATCCCAAAGTATTCAAATCCGGTAGCTCTAATACCAAGTTGTAATGCCCCGCATATAATAACCATAATTCATCTTATGATATTAATTAAATAACAACACCATTCTAAATATAATATCCTTCAATTCATGTGATCCCATTGTACAAAAGGCAACACATGCAGTTATACATTCATATGCCATAACCCTAAATTTATAGCATGTGTCATGAGTTACTAGTATGAAATAAAAGTTAAACATATGTATAAATGCCCTAATGGCTATAATTTTCCCAGACGATGCTTGGTTACACCAAAAGTGAGTTTAAACTCAATACAAATAGAGCCCTAGGCTTTAACAAAATAAATAGAACAAAAACCAAACAATAAGCTCTCGGCTCCAAGTCCTCCCAAGCTACAGCCTTGGTGGAGGCATATCATCAGCACCTGACAATGGTCTTCCACATAGTGTGAGCCAGAGCCCAATAGAGATACTCTAACACAGTGTATGAATCTTAACAAAGTTATAAAGTGAATGCATATGCAATGCTCGTGCCAAAACATTTTATGTCTCTTTAAAAAACGATGCAATGCCAGGTTTATATCACAATTCATGAAAACATTTCTTTTATAACAGAAGACAGGGCAGTGGATACAACACTGGAATCTCTAGGTACGTGTCTGCAAGTAGACTATACAAGCACTACCAATTTCCATTTTTACTGGCACTAATCTGAAGGCTCAGAGCCTAACCACGTGGGTTTCTGGACTTTCACCAACAATGCACTGGACAACAATAATACCACAACCACACCTGCTACCTAGATTCACCAAGGTATTCACCCATTTTTTTTCAAAACAATAAACATTTTTTATGCGTTAAGTATGCAACAATGCTCAATGCAAATGGATAAGAAACTAGTTTTAATTCTCTTAATTCTCATGTGATTTCTACAACACTCATAGCTATTCTTCCCCGATAGCCCAAAGCAGATATCTCTGAACATATAGATAATTTCCAATAAAAATAAACTTTCAAAAATTCAAGATGGAAGTGATAATGCATATCCAACTCCACCATCATCATCAGCAGCAGCATTCGAATTTCATAAATTCCAACATCATTTCCATTTCCTCTTTACAAAATCAAGTATTCACATTTTAGGGAAAAATCCCCTTTTCTACATGAACCGATTCCGAGTATGAAAATTCACCCTTTCACAACTCAACCACATTTACAAACCCACAATCATTTTCCAAAAACTATTTTGACCCTCTTTTGATTTCAAAACCAAAACCCTAGGTTTATCTAAAAATTCTCAAATCACAATATTATTTAGAAAATCAAATAACCATGTTTAAAACCATACAAAAGTGTGGAGAAATCCCTTCCTCAAAGCTAGAAGGCAAGAGAGAGAATGGAGAAGCCTCGACGAAGCCGAAAACCAATTTTGCTTCAATCAAAAGGAAACTCTAGGCAAGCGCTACCCTTTTTCCGAAAGGACAATGGTTGAGAGATCAATGGATGACAGTGTATTTGAGGTTTAAAGATGGTTTCTAGAGAGAGAAGTAGAAAATATGAGATTTTAGAATGTTTAGAGAAAGAGAGAGAGATGAGAAAATGACTCAAAAAGTGACTTTTACGAACTGATATACACGTAGACCGCTCGAGCGACCAAAACACCGCTCGAGCGACTAGACACAACAAGTGAGACCGCTCGAGCGAACAAAGTGACTGGTCGAGCAAAGAACACCATCATCCTAGTACTTTACATGCTTGCAAAAGTACTGAAAGTTCCCAAAGACTGCTCGAGCGCAAGAAGGACCACTCGAGCCAAGATCGCTTGAGTGCAAGAAACATAGCTTGAGTGAAAAAAAAACACCCTCCCAATATATTTGCAGACTTTCAAATATACTAGAAGTTCTCAAAGATCGGTTGAGCGACAAAAGGACCACTCGCGTGAACTGACCAAAATCTAGGCAATAGTTCTATTGAAAAACAAACTCCCGACCTATTCCAAACGCAATAAAGACATCCAAACAACAAAACTAATCTATAATAAGATGAATCAGGATATGAACAACCAAACAACATAAGGAATCCCAGATCCAAAACAATAAACGGGTCGAGTCTAAACCAGAATCGTTATATATTGTTGAGTTCTGTTGAAATATTGGGAATTTCTCCTTTAAATGTGTTTTTGAAAGGAATAGATGATTTGTTAGAAAACATTGGTTTTGACCTTAAGAAGAAAGGAAAAGATGTTGAGTTTTTTAGAAGATAAAATGGATGTATCTATTAAAGATGAGAGTGGAGTTGCATATGTATTATCATTTCCATATTGAGATTATGAAAGTGTAACTGTTGTTAGGGATTTATCTTTTTTGTAGAGATATCTATTTTGGGTTATCGGTGAAGCATAACTTTGATTGTTGTAGAAATTGCATGAGGATTAGGTTAATTAAAACCAAATACTCATAAATCTTGCAGTGAACATTATTCCATAGTCTTGCAATGAAATTGTATCTCTTTGAGAAAAAAGGTTGAATACCTTGGTGAATATAGTTAAGGGGTATGGTTGTGGTATTATCTATGTTGGCATGTGTGTCCTTAATGAATGTAAAAAAACCTGTGTGGTTAGGTGCCAATTCTCCATGTTAGTACTGGTAAAATGGATTTGGCAGTACTTGTATAGCCAACTGGTAAACACATACCTAGAGATTCCCGGTGTTGTGTATCCACTGCCCTGTTTTATGTTCTAAAAAGTATTGTTTTATGAATTGATTTATAATCATGACATCGCATTGTTTTGAAAGAGAAAGTTTGACGATTTGGTAAATGGCATGCATATACATTCATCATATGACTATGTTAAGTATCATACAGTGTTTTCAAGTATTCTCTACTAGGCTTTAGTTCACCCTATGTGGAACCAACTTTCAGGTGCTGATGGTATGCCTCCGCCAAGGACTTAACTTGGGAGGATAGTGGAGCTGAAGGCTCATTTTGCTTTTCTTTTGTTGTAAATATCTATTGTACAGGCCTCAGGCTTTTTATTTGTTTTGGGCTTGACCCATTTTAATTGTAACCAAGCATCAACTTGGAAATATGTAGCCACTAAGGCATGAACCTATGTGTATTTCTTTTCGTTTCCCTGCATTGATATAAGTCACATGCTATGGATTAACAATCTAGGATTTATGAATGTATAATTGTATGTGACATCTTTTGTAATATTTTCAAGAGAGTTAATGAAAGAACGAAACATTATTGGTTTTCTGCACATTTAGCTTACTTTGTGGAATTATCTATTGTTGATTAATTTTGGGGCGTTAAAACTTAACTCGACTCGACTTGATTACATATAGTTTAAGTTTGATTCAAATTATCTGAAAAAAGTAAATAAGCCAAACTTGAATGCATTTTATTCATAATTTTTGTTTTATTGTTGTCAATCAGTATGAGATTATGTATAGCATCTCCAATTGACTTTTTAAATGAGGCATGTTAGCTATTAAAGTTAGCATTATCATATTTTAGTCCTTTCAACAGGCTAGCTATTACAATAATGATTTTAACAAAATTCGTCAAAGTTAGCGACATTTGAAGAGCCTTAGAAGGCTCTTTAAACAATTTGTGTGTATAGATAGGTTGAAATAAATAGTAGCGTTGGAGTACATAAATGAAAAAAGAAATTAGACAAAATAAAAAAATTATCTTTTTTATAGTTTAACTAGTAAAATTGAAGAGTATAGTTAAAGTTTCTCTTACAAATATTCTAAGGATTATATAAATTAGACAACTAATTACAATTAAAAAAAAAAGTATTTATTTAAGAAGAAATCACTTATTATTTAGTCAAAGAAAACATACTTTTTATATTTAACTCCTTTTTAGCCAAATAGATTGTT